AGACTGTTCTACCTCAGATCATCAGGCACTGGATTCTCATAGGACTGCGCCACCTAGATCCCTCACGTGAACAGTTCACAACAGGGTTTGCCCTCCTGTGAGACTGTAATGCAGAGCTCAGGTAGTCAGGCTCGCTCACCTGCTGCTGACCTCATGCTGTGCAGCCTGGTTGCTAACAGGCCATGGACTTGTGGCCTAGGGGTGGAGGACTCCGGCCTGCTCCATCGTATGGCCCCAGTATAATCTAGTGGAATCGCCGTCGTACATGTGGCCTATCATGGTTGGAAACATGATGTGGCGCATGACTGCGTGCCTCACGCCTGACATCCATGCCGTCATCTCATCCTCACGCCAGCCAGACCAGGAGGGCATTCCTGTCCCTTCACATTGTAGACAGGAGAACTGAGGCACCCCTGTGGTAGAACCTGGACCCAGATCTGCCAGATTCGGAGACTGTGCCACTCCACGAGGGTACCTCATCTCAGTTCAGGGTGGACTCGAACCAAGGTCTGTCGCGTCCGGAGCCTGTGCCCTTGCCACTCCATGAGGGTGCTCCATCTCAGTTCGGGGCAACTTCAGCCACACAATTGCTTGGGCCATAGAGTGAGTGTTCCTTCACTCCTTTCATTCCTTTGCCCTCGTTCTCACTCTCTCATCAAACACTCTTGTTGGCTCTGCCTCCTAACTATGCCCCAAATCAGATAGACACTTTTTTCTATCCTACACCACCAGCTTAGTCTGGATCCCCATCAGCCCTTTCCTGGAACACTGTAGCAGCCTCTTAAATTGGTTGTCTTCTGTCATTGTAATCCATTCTCCCACAGCAGTGGAATATTCTTAAAATCCAAATTAGATCACATCACTTCCCTGTTTACAACCACCAATGACTATCGAGTTGGAATGAGAAGAAAATGGACCCTTACCATGGCCCACAAAAGGTGATGTGGTTGGGCTTCTGCCACCCCATTACCTTATGCCCCCACCTTCCCTTCTGTCCCTCAGACTCACCACGATCTTTCCAGTGTCCCGCCGGGTCCTCCCATTGAGAACACTGTTCCTTGGGTTTTGCCTGAGCAGCTCCTTCTTCAGCTCAGCCATCACCTCCTCAGAGGCCTTTGCTGACTACCCCATAAGTAGAAGCACTTTCCCACCCTCATCCCCAGCTCATCCTACTCCATGAGTTTTCCTGTCACCACTGCAGTGCCTCCTCTCTAATCTGCCTTACTCACCTGCGTCCCTGGTGTACCCGAGGGTGCCTGGAACAGAGTAGATGCTCAGAACATCATCACTGAGTGAGCAGACACGTGCTGTTCCCTGCACCTAGAGAGATCTGTCCACCCTCCACCCTCCTCCTCCCTCCCTCAGATGTTACAGAGTAGATGCTCAGAACATCATTGCTCAGTGAGCACAAACACGTGCTGTTCCGTGCACCTAGGGAGATCTGTCCACCCTCCACCCTCCTCCTCCCTCCCTCAGATGTTACAGAGTAAATGCTCAGAACATCATTGTTCAGTGAGCACAGACACGTGCTATTCCCTGCACCTAGAGAGATCTGTCTACCTCACTCTCCGCCTCCCCTCACATGTTGAACTCAGAGGCATCCTTCAGCTCTTGCTCATGTTCTTTCTTTAGGGAAGTCTTCATGGCCCTCTTTTGCGTGCTTCTTTAACAACTACTTTTCCTCCCTGGCTCGTCTCACCTGTTTGTGTGACTTGGATTGAAGGCTGTCTCCCCAGCAGACTCTGATCTCCATGAGGCTGAGGCTGCCTGTCTTGCTCACTGCTCTGCTCCTAGGGCCCAGCACAGCTGTTTGTTGAATCGATGAGTGGAGGAATCAGTCACTTTTCCTGTACTAACTTGGTCCACACGTGGAATGTATGTGCCATAAATGAGTGAACCAGGAGCTCCTTGGGGGTCCACGACTCCCCTCATTTCGTCAGAATGTTAATAGAGGTTGGCCTGATGGCTCTTGCCTGTAATCCCAGTGTTTTGAGAGGCTGAGACAGATGGATTGCGTCAGGTCAGGAGTTTGAGACCAATCCCGGCAACATGGCAAAACCCATTTCTACAAAAAATACAAAAATTAGTTGGGTGTGGTGATGAGCCTGTAGTGCCAGCTACTTGGGGAGGCTGAGGTTGGCAGGATCCCTTGAGCCTGTGAGGTCAAAGCTGCAGTGAGCTGTGCTCACACTGCTGCAGTTCAGGTTGGGTGACAGAGTGGGACTCTGTCTAAAAAACGAAACAAACAAAAAAAAAATGCCAATGGAGACAGACTGTTGAAATAGGGAGGAGAGCTTGGGAGGCTGCTGGCCCCGTGACGCTGAGCGAGCCCCGCACTCACACGACCTCCAATGGTGCCCAGTATGCTCCACTTCTTCCTCTTGGTCCGTTTTCTTGATGCCTTGCACCAGAGGGAGTAGAGCCCAGGAACATCCTCAGCCCGCTTCACTGACATCTGCTTTCTGCCATGATTTCCAGTAACACGTTATGTTTTAAAATGAGGCCCACCTTACGTAATTGTGAGGTGCTGTTATCAACCCAGTAGACTCAGCAATAGATGAGGAACATTTAGCTCAAAAATCCAAATTCTTTGTCTGCCACTGAATGATTTTGAACAAAGCTTTTAACTTTGGTTAGCTGACTTGCTTTTCACATCTACCAAGGACCAGAAGACAGAGTCATAGTGACTCAGCTCAACAGCATAACCCCAGAGCCCACTGTTAAGCCAGTGGAGTCAGGAATCTAATGCTGTTAATTAATTTATTTTTTTTATGGTTGTTGAAGATTGAGCTTGGTAGATTCCTTTTCTTACTGTTCTTCTCTCTAAAATAGCAGCCCTTAGGAAGACAACTCAAGCTTAGAAATACTGCTTTCTGAAAAAAGCTGTAAGTTTATAAGGATGTTTTTTCTGTCATATCAGGTAAAGAAGCCAGAGTTTGGAACGTGCAAATTTGAAATACTTGCTTGGGTGTTAGACCATATTGTTTCTCACCAGGATACCACAGCAGTCATCGTCTTACTAATGATTGCCTCGAGCTAATGCAGTCATCACGCGGCTCCGTCATGCACTGAGGCTGTGTCCATCCACATAAATTGCATCCAGGTGTTTTGGCCCACAAGCAAGTAGTTTAAATGACTATAAGCGGAATTGTCTTAAAACAAAAACCAGATGCAGGTGTAGTGTTTTTGTCTAAGGTTTTTTTATTTATTTGCTTAATTTTTAAATTTATTTTTTGAGATGGAGTCTCGCTCTGTCACCCAGGCTGGAGTGCAGTGGTACCATCTCCACTCTCTGCAGCCTCCACCTCCCAGGTTCAAGTGATTCTCCTGTCTCAGCCTCCTGAGTAGCAAGGATTGCAGGCACCCACCACCATGCTGCTAGTTTTGGTATTTTTAATAAAGATGTGGTTTCACCATATTGGCCAGGCTAGTCTCAAACTCCTGACCTCAAGTGACCTGCCTGCCTTGGCCTCCCAAAGTGCTGGGACTACAGGCATGAGCCACCATACCCGGCCTTTGTGTAAGTTTTGTTTTTGTTTTTTTGTTTGTAATATCTTTAGGTGATGTCCTGGCACTTGGCAAAGTCATTCACACTATAGTCCATCTGCTGTCCCTTTTGGCTTAGAGATTAATTCAGGTTGACCCACCGGTATTGGCTAAAATATCAAGCACACTTCGAAACTCCCTCTCCACCTAACTTCTTGTCTCTGGAGAGCCATGCCTTACCCCATTCCCTCATCCTCAGCACCAAGAATTCCTCTTTTCTATTTGTGCAGTTGGCCTCTTTTCTACCAAAGCCTTCAGCTCCCAGGCATAACAATATCCCTAGGTGAAAATGGTAAAGAAATTCCAGAGAGCTGCCTTGATTCTGTAGTTGTACTGAAGTTAGCATCATCAGTGACCCTTATGTATATCATGTGCTGCTTCTTGGGTTTCACATTTGAGCCTTCAGATAGTCCTGTGACTACACCCTCATTCGGCAGATGAAGTCACTGTGGCTCAGAGAAGCTGGTGATATGGCCAGTGCAGCACAGTCGGAGCTACACCAAGGCCACGGGCACGTCTCCTCCAGCTGTCCCGTGAGCCCTGGTTCCTCTCAGGGCCATGTTTTCAAATAGCTATGATATGGCCAGTGCAGCACAGTCAGAGCTACACCAAGGCCACTGCCACGGCCACGTCTCCTCCAGCTGTCCCATGAGCCCTGGTTCCACTCAGGGCCGTGTTTTCAAATAGTCATATTTGGAAGCTGAAAAGTAGATTTTCTCAAGGAGTTGTGGTTGTTGTAATGGAGCTTACTTGGGAAGAGTCGTCTGTTAATCTAGAACGCATGAGATTAGCTTTGTAGTTTGTTCTTGCATTCACATCCATCTGGCACTTTGATTCATTTCTATTTATTGAGGACCTGCTACATGCTAGGCACCAGGATAGGATGGGGAACAAGAAAGACATAATCTCTGCCATCATGGAGGCAGAAAAAAAAAAGACAAATGGGTAATTGCAGTATTTTAATAAATGTCTGGGCAGGGGACATGTAGCACAGTTTGGGAACACGTCAGGGACATCTAACCCAAATGTGACAGATGGGAAAGGCTCCCCAGCAGAAGGGGCTTCTAATTTGAAGACTGAAGGATGCGTAAGATTAGAGTTGGGGCAGGGTGGTGAGGGAGGTTTCAGGAAGACGGAAGGGCAGTGTGAAGGCCTGGGGGTAAGCATGTGGTCGGTGTTGCCTCAGTTCTTTACTGGATCAGAGTTCATGACTTAGCTCTTGGAGACACCTGGAAAAAGTGGATCAATGGCGAAGGCTGTTGAATATGCTCAGAAAATACTTCTCTTTCTTATATCTACCTAACAGAAAAAGCTTGAGTCTCCACCCACTTCTACCAATCCCTTCCTGGAAGATGAGCCAACACCAGAGATGGAGGAACTGGCAATGGAGAAAGGAGATTTAGATCAAGTAAGTCTGGTTTGCGTCACCATGGGTAACCTATCTGATGTGTGCTTCTGAAAATGGGTCCGCTTGCTCCTGATATGATCCTTTGGCTCCTGGCCACATTCAGAGATGACAGCTCTGGTGGTCGTTATAGAAGACCCTTATCTGAAAGTGCGTTTAGAAAACTCCGTGAAAGGGCAGACTTTCCTGCCCCATAGCTCTGTGCCTGAAGAGCCCGCCACCAGGACACACACAAGCTTTATGAGCCACTGCAGTGGGGCCAGAAGAGTTCCACTCTGTCTCATTCAGCGTCTCCTGAGCTTGTGAGCTTGGTTTTGCGTTTTACTCTCGTCTGGTATGGTGATGATGTGAGAGTCTGAGCGATTCTCAGGAAGCTAGTGGCACCATCGGCTGGGAGAGGCTTCCATGCAGTGTAAGCCGATCACTTTAGAGTTGGAAATACAAGGTGACCAGTGGCATATTTGGAGAACTAATTTTCAGAGCACACTAGCACTTTCATTTCCTTTGGATGTTTCTGTCCAAGTCTAAATTTCCTCTCCCTTCATCCTACAGAATGCTGTTTTTGTTTCACTGCCATTTTATGACAAGGGAGGTTAGAGCAATAAATCAGAGCTTTTCCTTTCTGGATTAGTGATCCCTCTTTTTAATTTTCTACACTTGGCTGCTGGAGGATTATTTTATGGTATTGTTTTGCTCCAGACACCAACAAAAGTGAGGCTGGCTGGGAGGACCAGCATTGGGAAACCTGTACCTATACACTTAGCAGCTTGCCCGCTTTCATTCCCAGCACGGTGAGGGCAGGAGCCAGGAGAGCAGAACTCCAGGAGCAGCTCTGAAATGATGCAATACAGTGTCTGGTCCATCGATTGAATGATTGCAATGAAAGGAATACCTCATGCTTTTATAGTGCTTTGCAGTTTTAAATTCTTTTACACGCCTTATTTCATCTTCACAATTCTTGCCTCTTACTTTATAGGTGATGAAACTTTAGCTCGGAGAGGTTAAGTGATTGACCCAGGGTTGCATAGTTAGGAAGTGGAGGAGCTTAAACTGGAAGCCAGGCTTCAGTGTCAGAAACTCGAATTCCTTTCCCAGTGCTATTTTGTTTATGACTCACGTCTCATTCAGGAGTGGAGGATATAGAAATAAATCTCAGGAATAGAAGTAAATGAACAAAACTGATGGGACATCTTAAGGAGGCGTTATCCAAGAGATGTGTATGTAGAAGTAGGTGCAGTTTATTTGAAGCCATCATAGTATTGACTGGCATGGGAGAAAACAGACATTTCCTCTAACTAATTAAATGCAGTTCTCACATTTCTGGGAGCAGAGACTAGGGTGGGAAGAAGGCTGTGGGTGTAGAGCTCATTCTTCTGCCATGCCCTCCTCTGACACTGGGCCAGCTGCACCTGTGAGCATTGTTCTTGCAGGAGAGCCATTTGCAGAGCCCTGATGTCTCACCAGTGCCAGCAGCTGCCATGGTCGTGTCCAAAATGGTGCAGTTAAACGCTCAGATACTTGTAGTGTTGCCAGGAATAGTTATTCCTTTTGCTAGTTATCTCTGGATGTTATTAAATTGGATTAAGATAGAGAGGCCCCATTCCTTACAAAATCAGTTTTGCCAGGTGAAGTATGATTTTCCTTTTTCTTGTAACTTTTTCCTCATATGGAAGCTTGATGTTACTGGTGTAAGGACCAAGACCTGCTCATTCTGAGAACACAGAAGCCTGACACCTGACAGATATGTGGGGTAAAGCAGAGCCATGTGCTGGGAAAATGCCGGACTCTGGTCGGCTGTTAACTGACCGACCATGTGACTTCAGGCTGGTTATTTTCTCTCTTTAGACTTCCCTAGTTGGTCTTTAGTAAGAGCTCATGGTTTTCAAACTGTATTCCTCGGTGCCCATCAGGTGTCGCTGTGAAGCTAGGAGGAGAGCAGGGACCTAGGTCCCTGAGATCGGAGCAGTTTTATTTTGAGTCATTTTGTATTGTGGGCTTTCAGATAAAATTTCTTTTCAACCAGGGGTTTTATGTCATTAAAAAAAAAAAAAAAAAACTGACCTGGCCTGGTGGCTCACGCCCATAACCCCCGTACTTTAGGAGGCCGAGGTGGGCAAATCACTTGAGATCAGAAGTTCGCAACCAGCCTGGCCAATGTGGTGAAACCCCATCTCTACTAAAAATACAAAATTAAGTGGGTGTGGTGGCGCATGCCTGTAATCCCAGCTACTCAGGAGGCTGAGGCGGGAGAATCACTTAAACCCGGGAGGCGAAGGTTGCAGTGAGCCGAGATTGCACCACTGCACTCCAGCCTGGGAGACAGAGTGAGATTCCATCTCAAAAAAAAAAAAAAACTAAACTAAACCCCTGATCTAGCTGATCCACCCACCATTTCATGGGCTATTACTCATTAGTAATAAAACTTACACACCAGTGACTAATGCTTCCACCCATGCCATCCCTGACCTCCTGCTGCCTCATTGGCCTGGCCTTACTTATGGCTGAGGTAGGCGCCCAGGGTCTCCCTCTTCTCATAGTGGGGTGGACAACAAGAGCAAGAGCCCTGTGGGTTGGGGGAGGGATCCACCAGGTGTTAGTGGCGAAATCAGCCAGAGGTAGTTAGAGGGAAGGTCCCTACCAGTTCGTGGGTGACCTGACCCATTACATTGCTGCAGTCAGTAGCATTTGGCCCTCAAGGTAAGGGTCACTCCCTGCTCACCACTGCAGTTTACGCCTGGCTGCTGAGAAGAGAGAGTGAACTTGAAAAAAGCTATTTAGTTTACAAAAGGCCCTGAGTAATCAGTTGCCAGGATATTGCCAGTGATTAAAAAATGACATCTGAAAGGGGACTGAGGGGTACCGAAAGTATAAAAGAAAGGAGAAGAAATAACAAATTTCTGGTTTTAAAATGTACCCTTCTGGTGATCCGCACAGTTAGATTTAATCTGTTTACATTGGGTAGCAATAAAAGGAAATGGGAGCAGCTGCAGACCTCCTCACTGTGACAACAGTAACCTTTTATTATTCCATCAAACTCTGGGAGGAAATAGCTTAAGCATCTGCAGATTTTGGACAGAATTCACATACTCAGAAACGCAGCCTCAACCTACTGCTAAACGACTTAGCGTCATGTTGAAGCTGAGAATCAACCCTCTGGGGAGTTGCCTGGTGCAAAGGGAGATGCCAGCCAAAATTCCAGCACCTCCTATGTAAACTGAGCACATTCACAATGCAGCCGTAGGCAGGAGACAGCCCTGCAGGAAAAAAGTAAGAAGAAAGGAAACTTGAGGCAGTCCTTCCCGTTATTCCTCTCTTGCTTCAGCTCGCACTAAAAATGCTGCAAGAGGATCTGGGTGCTGTGGTTGTAGGGCTAGGGGTCCCTCCTCACTGCAGAAGAGTGCTGTTAGTGGGCAGGGCAGGGCAGGGCCACGTCATCTGCAGGTAGGGGTGCAACCCTGGCACTGCCTGGTCATGCAGCCTGAGTGTCCTGTGGGGCCTTATTACGGCAGGACCTGTGGCAGACGAATCAAGATGAGTGCCGTGGAATTATATAGCTGTTTTCTTATTTTCACTTAGAATCTGTATTTTATACTTACCAAATGAGCTCATGAGACTCATTCCAAATAGTTTCTTTCAAATCATACATCACTTCTGTGCATATGTAAAAGGAAAGTATAAGGAAAATAAATAGATTAAGATATTTCTAAAACTTCTTCACATGCAGGGCCCACATCTTCTGAACCACTTTTTTAAAAACTTTATGTTTGGAATAATTATGGGCTTATAAATTATAAACCTAGTACAGTGATGTACCGTGTACCAGTCTCCCAGCTTTCTCCAGAGGAACAGCTAAAATACGATAGTGCATCATCAAAACCAGGAAATCAATCAATCCAGACCCCTTCCCGTCTCCCAGCTTCCTCCAGGGAGACAGTTAACGTACTATAGTGCATCACCAAACCAGGAAATGGATCCAGACACCTTCCCATCTCCTAGCTTCCTCCAGGGGACAGTTAACATACTATAGTGCATCATCAAACCAGGAAGTGGATCCAACCCCTTCCATCTCCCAGCTTCCTCCAGGGGGACAGTTAACATTCTATAGTATATCATCAAACCAGGAAGTGGATCCAACCCTTCCATCTCCCAGCTTCCTCCAGGGGACAGTTAACGTACTATAGTGCATCACCAAACCAGGAAGTGGATCCAACCCTTCCATCTCCCAGCTTCTTCCAGGGGACAGTTAACGTACTATAGTGCATCACCAAACCAGGAAGTGGATCCAACCCTTCCATCTCCCAGCTTTCTCCAGGGGGGAAGTTAACGTACTATAGTGCATCATCAAACCAGGAAGTGGATCCAGACCCCTTCCCATCTCCCAGCTTCCTCCGGGGACAGTTAATAATGTCAAATGAAGAGAAAAGTTACAACGAGCTTGTAAATATCTTTCTTCTGGATTCAGCAACTGTTAACATTTTCCTATGTAACTATCATTTCCTCCCTACTCCCTCCACCTTTAGAACAATTTGTAAGTTCACTCATTTACCATAGATCAAAATCAGAAAATTTTACATCAGTACAGTAATATTATCTAATCTATAGACTTTTTAAGTCTATATACTTATCTATAGGCATTTTAAGTCTATAGATTAGATAGACATATAGATTATTAGATAGACATATAGATTAGATGGACTTATAGATTAGATAATCTATAGACATTTTAAGTCATTTTTCATAATGTAGCCATTTCAAAGTGATAAAATATTGTCCGTAGTTGGGAAAGTACACATAAATTAGTAAGTCTGTAAAAATACAAAATATACCTGTTCAAAATAAAAAAAAAAAGAAAAAACAAAAGCAGAAAATATACATGTTGATTTTTTTAAATGACAACATTCTGTATTATGTAAATTTCCATGTGTAATTACCAGAAGTTATCCTGCAGAATGTGAATTTTCTTCAAAAGAAAAAAAAAATTAAAAAATAACTATAATACCTATAATTATTATTTAATTAATAAAAAGATACCTGGTAGTAGTAGCCATGTTTTCCGAATCTAAAACCATAATATCTGGTCTTACAGAGTCAGACAAATCAAATTACATTTTTCTATTCACTTAAATCATCATTTGGAATCAGTAATAAAAAATAGATACTGACTTGGAAAAAAAAGGACAAATGGGTGAGGACCACTCCTCACAGTCCTCATCCTCCATCATAGAGCCTTCATCTCAAACTAATGGAAGTGCAGAAAAACTCCCAGGACATCTGCACTAGCGTGGAATTCTAGATCCAGCAGATTCAAGCCCAGTCAGCCAGTCTTATGTGGCCCGAGGCCCTGTGGGGGTCTTACTCTGAGGCCTGACTGTGGCAGTGGCTTCCAGATGATAAGAGTAAACAGTGGAGATGGTATTTATTCTTAGGAAGGACCAGAGTTTCTAGAAACCTTGCAAAAAATTAAAGACGTTGAACTCTTGGAAGGTGGAAAGGGAGGAGGGGCTGAGTACTAGGTTGAGTGAGTGTGTCTAAAGTTGACATTAAATTTTTGGTCATTTTTTTACAGATCAGTTTTTACAGTTGTTTTTAGCTATTGCAGTGTGTTATTTTAAAAAAACAGAAATAGGTAATTACCATTTTTGCCTGTCATTGGGGCTTAGCTCTTCCAGTATGTATTAAAATATATAAGCAGTTCAAGAGGGTAGATCTTATGTTAAGTATTTTTACCACAAGTAATAATAACAACAAGTAAAGGGGTGGGAGGGAGCTTGGGGAGGTGGTAGATACACATGGCCTTGGTGGTGGTGAGGGGTTCATGGGTGTTTACTTATTCTCAAACTCGTTAGGATACAGGTATTGATCGACTTACGACCTATACAACTTATGACCATTCGACTTTACGACCACAATCCCTAGCCACGACTGCTCCGCGTCTGGCAGCGCAAACGTTGCCCAGCTGGGCGTACGATAGTGTGGACCAGCTTCCAGCAACACTACCATCTCCGCGTGCATATAGCCTACTCAACTTACGACCAAATCGTGTTACGACCGGTCTGTCGGAACCATTCGTGGTCGTAAGTCGAGCACTGGCTGTATATACATTAAATATGTTGGCCTTTTAAAGTGTCAGTCATACCTCAGTAAAGTGGGGTTAAAAAAATAAGATCTGAGTAGTTCAATTTAACCAGTATGTTGTGGGTACAGTTTCCATACACACTATATTCTAGTACCAGCCCCAGCAAGGTGTGTTTGCCTCAGGGTCATTTCGTGGCCATTTGGCAATAGACAGAATTGACATTTTTTAGGAATAGAAAGTAACATGTAGGAAAATCTTTGCTTACTTTTTAATTTGGAAAGGAATTAAGTAGCAAATAGAGTTTTAAAATATTTGGCTGTCATATGACTTCTTTATCAGTGGCTTCCAAGTAACAATCTGGGAACCAGTGCTGGTCTAGTGTTACAGTGGCCTAAAGCAAAAAAAAAAAAAAAAAAAAAAAAAAGTAGACAGTATAGTGTGCCTGCCTGCTTCCCTCCCTCTGTGTGTGTATCTCTATCTCTTTCTCTCTCCCCTCTCTTTCTGTCCTTTTCCAGAAAGTACTGCCTATATGTTGCTATTTTATTCTTATAAGATTTGGGACATAAAATACTTTTTTCTGGCTGGGCACGATGCCTCATGCCTGTAATCCCAGCACTTTGGGAGGCCAAGGCAGGTGGATCACTTGAGGCCAGGAGTTCGAGACCAGCCAGGCCAACATGGCAAAACCCATCTCTACTTAAAAGACCAAAGTTAGCTGGCCGTAGTGGCACGTACCTGTAATCCCAGCTACTTAGGAGGCTCAGACACAAGAATCACTTAAGTCCAGAGGCACAGGTTGCAGTGAGCTGAGATGGCGCCACTGGACTTTAGCCTGAGCGACAGAGGGAGACTCTGTCTCAAAAAAACAAACCTATATATTTTTTTAGGAACTTGTGGTAAGAATAGAAAGTAGCAAAATAAAGGTAACAACCCTCTATTGGCTCTCCACCCTTCTTTTTGTTACATTTTCTTACTGATGAAATTCAAAACCTTCTGGGAACTATTGCAGGAAAATCATGATACAATAGAAAGAGTTGTAGAGTAAGAAAAGCAGACTTCTACATATGTCTTGGGGCAGGTTAGAGAGCCTCTGAGTCCTCATTTCTTGTGGTATAAGTAGTAGGGATACCTACATGAAGGGTTATTGTGAGGAACAGGTGATGTATTCGTTGGTATCAAAGTGGTTGGCCTATAGTAACAATCAGTAAGTGGAGGCTGTCAAAAATTGGATTGCGTGAAAGCACTTTATGAGTTCTAAAGCAGTGTACAAGTACAAGGTGCTGTTATTAGCCAGGATGTAAATTCTGGAAAACACCAGTCAGATAGATGATGACCAGCTCCAGATTCAAAATGCGTATGTTATCAGAGTAACACTAAGTCTTCCACAGTCCACAGCAAGCCAGTGATGCTAACAGAGCTGGTGTTTTGTTCACCTGCTGGGGTGAATCGTGAAGCCGACGTTTTCCCACTTCAATTACGTCGAGTACCCTTGTATTTTGAACTTTGAAATGATGTTTTTTAAAAAAATTCTTGAACATTTGCAAAGACCACTCAAGTATTGGGTTTATTTTTCTTTGTTTTTACAGCCAAAGAAGCCCAAAGCACCAGACAATCCATTTCATGGCATCGTTTCCAAGTGCTTCGAGCCTCATCTCTATGTGTACATCGAATCCCAGGATAAGTAAGTTAGGGGCATGCACTGTTTTCTGCCTGCATTTCTCGCGCCCAGGTCATGACTGGGTCTTAGAAGCGCACAGCTCCTTTCAGAGGCTGAAGGAGGGACGTGGCATGCCTGTGACCCTCCCCAGAAACCCATCTGGGATATTTTTACATCTTTTGAAGGTTATCATGAATTGTGTCTATAAACCTCAGGGCCTGAGTTTGCCCCTGATAAGGTCCCTATGGGTCCCAACACCTGCTTCCCACATGGATGTGGAGCCCTGACATACGTCAGCCTACAAAGCTTTACAGTGTCAGGCACTGGGTATTAAAGTCTAATCCCTCATGTTTATGTTTTCAAGTGTAATTTAGCCTTAGAAGAAGTTACCAAAATAGGACAAAAAATTCTCACATGCCCTCCGCAGAGAATGTTAACATCTTACATAACAACCACAGGTACCCAAATCAAGAAGGTAACACTGTCCCATTGAGGTCTCTTTTTCTGGTCCAGGACCCCGTAATCATGCATTTAGTTGTCAGATCTCTTTGGTCTTATCTCTTTTAATCTTGAGTAGTTCCTCATCTTTTCTTTTTTTTCTTTCCTTTTTTCTTCTTCTTTTTTTTTTTTTTTCCCTTCCCTTTCCTTTTTCTTCTTTTCTCTTCTTTTTTTTTGAGACAGGGTCTCACTGTGTCCCCAAGGCTGGAGTGCGGTGGTGAGTGGTGAGATCACGACTTATTGCATCCTCCATCTTCTGGACTCAAGCAGTCCTCCCACCTGTCTCCCAGGTAGCTGGGACTAAGGTGCACACTGCCACGCCTGGTTAATATTTCTATTTTTAGTAGAGTTGAGGTGTCCCTGTGTTGGCCAGGATAGTCTCAAATGATCCACCCACCTCAGCCTCCCAAAGTGTTGGGATTACAGGCATGAGCCACACTGCCTGGCCATTCTTCACCTTTTCTTTGTCTTTCATGACCTCAGTGCATACTGGCCAGGCATTTTGTACAGTGTCCTCAGTTTTCTTTTTTTCTTGATTAAATCCATTTTGGTCAAGAATACCATGAAAGTGTCATTGTATCCTCAGTGCATTGTGTCAGCAGGCACATCACATTGGTTTGTCCCGTTGTTGCTTTATTATTGCTTTAAGTGGTACCTGCTAACTTTCTTCACTGTGAAGTTACAGTTTTTCTCCTGGTAATTAATAAGTATGTTATGGGATGATACTATCTGAATATCCTGCTCTCATCAAACTTTTGCACACTCATTCGCATCCCTTGATGATTCATTCTGACCTGAAATATTGTTTCTTTAACATTTGCCAAATGTTGATTGTCTATTTTCATTATTTCTTCTACACTTACTAATTGGAGTTCTACTATATGGAAGAATTTTTCTCTTCCCCATTTGTTTATTAGTATGAACTCGTGGATTCTGATTTTATTCTATGGATCAGCTATATAGTATTATATATTATCTATACCATATTGCTTTTCACGTGACTGGGTGCGGTGGGCCACACCTGTAATCCCAGCACTTTGGGAGGCCAAGGTAGGAGAAGCTCTTGAGCCCAGGATTTGGAGACCAGCCTGGGGAACATAGTGAAACCGCATCTCTACAAATAACTTTTTAAATTAGCCAGGTGTAGTGGTGCATACCTGTAGTCCAGCTACTTGAGAGGCTGAGGTGGGAAAAGCTCTGGAGCCCAGGAGAAGGAGGCTGCAATGAGCCATTACTGTGCCACTGCACTCTAGCCTGGGGGACAGAGGCCTTGCCTCAAAATAAATAAATAAATAAATAACTAGCAAAATATAGTATATGCTTTTTACAAGCTTGTAGCCTGCAAAGATTTTCATGAAGCATCTTGCCGCAGCCAGGTTTCTTCCCTCCCACCCTCTTTTTAAAAAAATCCCAAAGACTCCAGACTAACAGCCGAAGAGTGTCTTTGTGTTCCAGTGTCCATTGTTTGTGTGAGGGGCCTTCGCCAAGGAGGAAGACTCCTCCTCGTCCCTGAGTCTTTGTCCACAACCAGAGTCACTCTTGAAGGCCCTTCCATGTTGGAAGGCAGGTTTTGGAAAGGTCAGAATTCTGGAGCAGGCCAAGATGGCTGGAGACAGACTGGCGTGGGCTCCCAGAGGAAGCCTTGTAGTCTAAAGAATGCACTTCGGAGGGACCAGAAGGTGGCTCACCCCAGGAGCATCGCAGAGCTGTGCAAACGTCCTGAGGGAATTTCTCTGGGAATGTATTTGGGTCCTGATTGCATTCCCCCCAACCTTTACAATGCTTCTATCATGGGTTAGCAGATTCCTATTTTCAGACATCTTTCAGGTAAACCATAAGATTAAGAGAATGTTTCAGGTAGAAACACCACATGGAACAATATGATTCACCTGCTTGATTGTATATACTGCTTCTGTGCTTTTCATGCCCAGTTACAAAGTGCTTCATATTAAAATCTCAGAAAATGAACTTGCCCAGTAGCTTCTCCATCGTCAGATGCAAGTCTCCTCACCAGCACCCCCCAGAAAAAGTTGCCTTGCCATCAGTTGCCTTGCAAAGGCCCAGTGGCGCCTCGCTCTCCACCCAGTGGGCCCGTATCCAGCAGGCACACGGAGGGACAGAGGTGACTACTGCCACTGCTCTGTCCCTGAGAGCACCCTGCCCTCTGCACTCACAAAGTTTCCCTCCAGGAAGTTACTGAGACACCCCTGAGGAGCAGGAACAAGGATTGATTATTTGCCTATTGGAGTCACAGGGCTTCAAGCAACACCCCCAGATGACTGTTTTCAACCAAAGCCCCATTTCTCTTAACCCAAGTTTTTAGTTTTAAAAGGCTTAAAAGGCCGGGCACATTGGCTTATGCCCGTAATCCCAGCACTTTGGGATTACAGGCCGAGGCAGACAGATTATGAGGTCAAGAAGTCGAGACCATCTTGGCTGACACAATGAAACTCCATCTCTACTAAAAACACAAAAAATTAGCCGGGTGTGGTGGGGCAAACCCACAGTCCCAGCAACTCGGGAGGCTGAGGCAGGAGAATTACTTGAACTAGGGAGGCAGAGGTTGCAGTGAGCCGAGGTCGCACCAGTGCACTCCAGACTGGGTGACAGAGAGAGACTCTGTCTCAAAAAAAAAAAAAAGGCTTAAAAGTTACTGGGTCCAGGGTTTATTTGTTTATTTTTGAGACAGGGTCTCACTGTGTCACCCAGGATGGAGTACAGAAAGGCATGATTAGGACTCATTGTAGCCTCAACCTCCCAAGGTTTCAGCAGTCCTTCCACCTCAGCCTCTCAAGTAGCTGGGACTACAGGCACACATTACCACACCCGGCTAATTTTTGTATTTTTTGTAGAAATGCAGTTTCACCATGTTACCCAAGCTGGTCTTGAACTCCTGGGCTCAAGCAGTCTGCCCACCTCCACTTCCCATTGTGCTGGGATTACAGGCGTGAGCCACCATGTCCAGCCAAGGTCCAGGGTTTAAAGCACATGTCAGAGATAGCCACATCCTTTCCCAAAACCTACCTGGTCTAAAGGGTCCTTTTTCTGAATCATTGTAATTCTGGCTTCCACTCTTCACATGGCCTTGATTTATATAAAATATATTTTGTTCAGGATACTTTTGGCAAAGAACCAGACCTCCCTTCCTTGGGGGCTCTCCATTTTCCTATGAAAAATGAAGTGCTGGCCGCTTCTGCTGTTTGGCCTCACTGGGATGTTTCTGCAGCTCTAGGGAAGTAGCAGAAACTGCACAGGCCGTGCTGCTGCTGCTCCAGAATAAACAGCAAGGACTGGAAGTAGAAAATAGAGTTTAAAGAACTCCGTGGGGGAGGAGGCAGGAGGTGGGTGGTCACTAGCAGATTTTGGGGGGAGGATGGAGGAGGTGGGGTGGTCACTAGCAGGTTGGAGGGAGGCAGGAGCAGGTTGGGTAAAGCTGTCCTTATGTGCTCTAAATGGCTTTCTCTGGTTATTTACGTGCAAAGAGGAGGTTAGTCTGTCTTCTGCTCTCCGGACGTAGTGATTCCCTTCAGCTGATGCTTGCAGGTGACTGCGTAGGCACTTTCTGCACTCCATTCTGCGACCTCCATCAGGGAAGCTACTGGTGACTCCCTATCTGCCCATTCTCCTAAGTTCCCTCTAATAACTTCTGTTAGAATAGAACCTGTGCTTTTCTAGAGCCTAGCGTCCATCTGTAAACAAGTTATCATTGTTTATTTTGAATTAATTTCAAGCTTACGGAAGAATTATAAGAATTATACATAGAGCACTTGTATAGCCTTGATCCAGATTCCTCATTAATGGTTATCTCCTGACACCCACATAATGCACAAACCCTACATGCTTTTTTCTTTTCTTTTTTCTTCCTTTCCCTTCCCTTCCCTTTCCTTCCCCTTTCCTTCCCCTTCCTTTTCCCATACCCTTCCCTTCCCATTCCCTTTCCTTCCCCTTTCCCTTCCCTTCCCCTTCCTTTTTCCATTCCCCTTCCCCTCCCTTCCCCTTCCCCTCCATTCCCTTCCCTTCCCCTTTCCCTTTCCCTTCCCCTTTCCCTCCCCTTCCCCTTCCCCTTCCCCTTCCCTTTCCCTTTCCCTTCCCTTCCCTTCCCTTCCCTTCCCTTCCCTTCCCTTCCCTT